TGGAGAGGAAGTCTAAACATCCTTTTCCAACTCTTAATCACAGTTGGGATCTCGATTGCCAACCTTGTTAATTACTGGGCTTCTTCCTTACACCCATGGGGTTGGAGGCTCTCTCTTGGCCTTGCTGGTGTACCTGCGGCCTTGCTATGCTTCGGCTCATTGCTCATTGTGGAGACACCAACAAGCTTGATAGAAAGAGGGAAGAGTGAGAAGGGGAAGGCCACTCTTGAGAGAATTAGAGGGACTAAGAATGTCGAACCCGAATTCCAGCAGCTTGTTAAGGCATGTGAGACTGCGAGTGAAGTTAAGCACCCCTACCACAGGCTTATGAGGCGTGACGGTCATCCACGTCTGTTTATCTCTATCATCCTGCAGGTACCACCTATCTCTGCCTCTCTTTCTCGGTACTCAAACAGCTTCTGATGGTTTGATGGGGTTTATTTTTCAGGTGTTTCAGCAGTTGACAGGGATCAATGCCATCATGTTCTATGCCCCCGTGCTCTTCCAGACCATGGGCTTCAAGAATGACGCCTCACTCTTGTCTGCTGTGATCACAGGTTTAGTTAATGTCATCGCCACCTTCGTCAGCATTGCCATTGTTGACAGGGTTGGAAGGAAGGCTTTGCTCCTCCAAGCTGCAGTCCAGATGTTCATTTGCCAGGTACATTTGGATTCTAGACATTTGATTTGAATGATATATTTTGTTTAAAGTTCTTCGTAGTAACTACTCGAATTCAAGGTTATTAGTAGATATATTTTGCTTACAATTTGAAGTTCTTCATAGTAACTACTCGAATTCAAGGTCATTAGTAGGAGTAAAACCGTGTAGCATCGCACATTGGGCCTTGCTTGAGCACAAAGAACCTCTACCCCTGAAACTAGCCCCACTTCTCTGTTGAAGCAAAAACAAATAATAACTTTCAGACATGACCAAAAGTTGGGAGAAGAAGCTAAAATAAAATGATTCTTTCTGAAAGGGAAGTTCAACTTCCATAATTCACCCAAATTGCAGACCATCTATTCATGCCAAGAAAGCTAAAACACGCTCGACTTTGATAACGTCACAATATGAAGTTTCCACACTTTTTCAATACAATCACCTAATTCCACCTTCACTTAATTGAGACTAACATTGCAGAAATTTAAAAGACCATTCTACCAAAAGACGATCCATCTCTCTCTCTCTGCAAGCAATATGTAGTTCATTGCTTGTAATGTGATTTTGCAGGGTGCCATTGGGATCATTCTATTAAAGGATCTCCACTTAACAAACTCCCTAAACCCCACTGTTGCAATTGTGGTGGTGATACTGGTGTGCTGCTATGTTGCTTCCTTTGCGTGGTCATGGGGACCGCTAGGGTGGCTCATCCCTAGTGAGATCTTCCCTCTAGAGACAAGATCAGCTGGCTTTTCCTTTGCTGTTTGCTCCAACATGCTTTTCACATTCCTCATTGCACAAGCCTTTCTATCTATGATGTGCCACTTAAAAGCCGGCATCTTCTTCTTCTTTGCTGGGTGGATTCTAATAATGGGGACTTTTGTAGTCTTTTTCTTGCCGGAGACTAAGGGTGTTCCTATCGATCAGATGACAGAGAGGGTGTGGAAGAAGCATTGGCTTTGGGCCAGGTTCATGGCAGAGGAGACTAACAGAGTTTGAAGCCACTAAATCAAGTTCATGGGAGTTCAAAGCTACAAAGTATACTAAGAAGGCAATGTCTTTGTAATTTTTCCTTCTTTTTTCTATGTAAAGTTGCCGTATGATTTCTTCAATATATGGATTCTCATAATGGGGACCTTTGTGGGTGTTCCTATATATCAGATTACAGAGGGTTGAAAGAAGCATTGGCTATAAGCCATGTTCATGGCAGCAGAGTCTAGAAAAGTTTGAAGCCCGTAAATCAATTTCATGGCAGGGATGTCTAGCAGAGCTCAAAGCCACTAAATATAATAAGAATGATTTTTTTTTTCCTTTTTTTTGCTTTTAATTTGGGTAGTTTCTCCAAGTGAAGTTTTTTTATGATACATATTTTTTTTTCCCTTCTTTATCAAAGCGCTGTGAATAAGAATTGATCTGTTGTGTGACTGAAATTATGTTATCCCTTGACATGGCGCTTGCGGATAGTGGTTTTTCTATGGGTCGGGTCTAGCTGGACCCAACCTATACCCGACCAGTTGCCACCCCTACTAGAAACCAACCCCAAAAAAAGAATAAATTTGAAAATAGTCTGTGACTGAGAAAGTAATGTCATGATTTCTCATGAAAACTCTTGAAAATAAATTTGAAAATTCTTGCATGAAAACTTTATAATCCAAAATTCTTTTTCCACCCCTAATTGTAAACTTTAAAGTTCTAGAAATCGTTCACATCAAGTTAATCGATATAAACACTTGGAAATTTTGAAAAAGACCGGTACAGATAATGTATTACAAGATTCATTATTTTTAAAATTTAAAATCTTTTTCTTTTTATAGGTGCATATATCTCAAGGTTGAGATGATCAACTAGAGAATTTTTCTTTCCTAGAGTGGCTTCAAAACTCTCTTGATTTCCAAAAACCCATGTTTTTTGGATGCAAGCCCATTTTCCTTCCTAGAGTGGATGCAACACTTGATTTTTTTCCAAAAACCCGTGTTTTTTGGCTGCAAGCCCATTTACCTAAGGAAATGACTTCTTTATTTACTTTTTTTCCTATTTCCCGTGTTTTTTGGCTGCAAGCCCATTTACCTAAGGAAATGACTTCTTTATTTACTTGATTTCCTATTTCCCGTGTTTTTTGGATGCAAGCCAATTTACCTAAGGAAACAACTGAAAAACTCTCTTGATTTCCTATTTCCCGTGTTTTTTGGCTGCAAGCCCATTTTCCTTCCTAGAGGGGATGTAAAAGATGACCTGATCATGTTTTCCCGTGTTTTTTGGATGCATTTTCCTATTTTCCGTGTTTTTTGGACGCAAGCCAATGAAATTAATATCAGATAGTATCTGCGAAAGCCAACTATATAGAAAACCTGCGAAAGCAACTATGTTCTTATTCTTATTTACTTCTTTACTTCTTTCTTTTTGAACGTTTTACCGCTTTCTTTCAGTGATGTTTGCCTAGCGAGTGAAGCTAGGGCTTTCTCCGTCTTTGACAGGTGTAATCTCTTCACGAGCGGATAGGTAAGTGTAAGTACTGCTTACTTCTATATAACTTGACAAATATCTTTCTTTAAAGTAAGAGTAAATAGTTGAAGTTCAGAAAGTCAGGAGAAAATAAAGCTAGGATTGTTGGAAAGCAAGGGTAGTTGGTAGCAAGGTCAGTCAATCAGGCATTCCACCTCACCCAATAGGCCTACCGCTTGAGAGTATAGCTGTTTTCGTTCGGTTTATAAAATCACTAATTGCTTGTTGGTTTTTTCTATTCACGTCTTATCTTCCAGTTCTCCGCTTAGAAATTACTGAAACGGAGGAGTTGAAGCTTCTTCCTGTGCTTCAGTAGTGAAGTGAGGAAAGTCACAGAAAAAGCAGTCAAGTGAAGAAATGAAGTACTTTCTATTAGTAATTATGTAAGGAGAAAATATCTATC